AGTTCTTCAGATAGATAATGTTCAGTCTGTTCTGGATGAGTTGCATTCCCACTGAATGCTCAAGTTCCTAGGAAGTTCTCCTGGAGTCTACATTTTCACTTTAGGCACAGGTGGCCTCAGTGGCATGAAACACTTCCTACCAGCTAACCTAGCTGGAGTAGTCTATGTTCTCTGAACCTCCAGGTTAGATTACTTCAATGAGCTGTGCATGGGACTGCCCTTGAAGACTGTTTGGAAGCTGTAGCATATGCAAGTTGTAGCATCAAGATTGATATTAGGGACCAAAAGTTCTGAGTATGTAACAGTGATTCTAGCTGGCTTGGATTGACTGCCTCTGTCAATGCATAGTGCTGGTTTTGATCTATAAAGGTTTGTATATCTCAGAACCACAATACCTGACAGTGCACCTCTCTGTACACTACAATCAGCATCTGAAGCCGTGCTCCAACAGCTTTTACCAAAGGAGGCATGGAAGAAGGCCTTGCTGGTGGTAGCTCCCCAATTGTGGAATGCTTTGTTCACTGCTTGGCATAACAACATTGTTATCTTTTCAACACCAAGGTTGAGACTTTTCACTATTCCCAGACATTTGCTGGCATATGATGAGACTTTTAATTTTGGCTGTTTCTAATATTAACTCTTTGTAGCTGTTTTAAATTATGTTTGGTTCTGTATGCTTAAGATTTTATATCACATTTTTATTATGCTGCATTTTGGGTTTCAGTTTTGTGAACTGCCCAGAGGGCTTTGAGTTATTGGGTGGTAGAGAACTGAAACAAATGATTGCATGAATAATAGATTGCTACAACATCTTTAAACAAAACTGCTGAGCTTGGAGTCATATGTAGCCTTGCAACAAATAACCTAATAGCTTATTTTCATAGTGATGTTTGTTTTTTCTTGGACTGACCACTTAAGTTCAATAAACAAGTATATACTTCCTTTCTGTGCAGGTATAGACAAACCAATGCTGATAATTGGGTATGTGCAGGAGTAAGGAAGTAGTCATTGTGACTTAGTTCTCCTGTGTAATATTCAGCCAATCCAGGGAAGGAGGACAGAACAACTTTGATTTAGATTTCTGTAACTGGAGAAACTTTTTATACATATTTCATTGTTATAAGACCCTGTATTCAAAAGTATTTAAATTTAGCTTTGTTACAGTTAGAAGAAATACTTTAAAGGAGACTGAGAAGCCTTGTATCCTGCTCATTGAAACTATCCCCCCACCCGCAAAATCCTAAGGAGGGGTGGAGGTTTCCATGGAGATTAGAACTGTGTGCAGTAGGAGAGCAACATATTTTAGAATTCCAGGAAGGAAGAGGGAGTGATGTCATCAGATCCCTATACAGTACTGGCATGTTGGGCAGAAATAGAGCAAGCTCAGTTAGTCATACAGGAAGTTGCAGATTATTTCTGAAAAATGCTGATTGTACTTTGAATAGTGCATCAGAGCAATATCGTGTGAATGTCTGAATGTAGCATAATATTACTTTTTCTGGAGACATTGCATGAGAACTAAAGTGCCACATGCACACTGAAGCATTCTAGCTCCTTTTTCCTTTTTATTTCAAGCAGCTGCCCTCCAGTCCCTGAAAATAAGGGGGTGGGGACTTCTGCAGTAACATTTGAGGAGTGCAAGAGGCAGCATGCTGGAAGAAAAAAAAATCATTCATAGTACTCTTGAATTCCTAGCCATTTTAAAAAAGAGGTCCTCTGGAAGGGTATTTTCTCATGTAGTTGCCTGGCAGATAGCCACTGTCTCTGTGGAAGAAATTTGAACTGTCACAGGAGTCATTGAGAGGTGATAAACCTGCCCCACCAGACTTAATGGAGTTGGGTGGATGAAACTACTTTCTCAAAAAACCTAGAGATTGTGAGATCACATACAAAGTTCTTGGGATCTCCTAATAGATATGCATCCCAATTATTGGTGTTCTTCACTTGAGCAAGTCGGGCAGCAATTCGTCTATCACCTACAAGAGGTTTTGGGTAGGCTAAATGTGAGTAGGCAGTTTAATATTACCTTATGGAAATGGCTTATAGGGGGGCTAGTGTTGCTGAAACAAACCTGTTTAGGTTGATCAGAGTTTGCATTTGCTCAGCACTGATGGGGTTTGGGGGAAGTAACAAAAGTAAGTGAGCACAAAACAACAGGAACACATTAAAATAACATATACAGAATAAAAATTCCAGTATATTTCAATTATGAAAGATTCTTGGACACATTTGAGGGATACTTAGTATTGGCCAGGTCTGTGTTGCTCCACAAAAACTGATGATCAGGCCTAGAATGTTTTTTTTTCAAACTGCCTAGAAAGATTGGTAATGTAAGACAAGTAAGGGAGGTTAATCCATAATTGCAAATCTTCTTAATGATTGAAAACCCACAAACCTCAATTCACTGCACCATCACTTTCCATATTGATAAAATAGTTGTCCCGTGTAGAGAATTGCCTACAGCAAAATGAAAGATTCTACATAGTAAATTGAATGTATAGCCAGTCTATCTGTGTGGTAGATTGGTTGCAGTCTATTCACACTACTTGACTTCAGTGGAATGTCCACTCTCTGCCATGTCCAAATTTGGCATCCAGTCTACCTTCTCTGAGATGTGTATCCAGCTGCACATTCCATGGAGAGCCATGCAGGGCGGAATGACTGAATTAATGGTTAGGGGCAAATTTGGTCTCTGATCCAGCCATGGAAGTGTAAGTGGGGAATGAATTTGCAATAAAAAGGCAACAACAAAATATGCACATCACAGTCACTGTTCAGTGTTCCACGGTTATTATGATGAATGAATGCTCAGATGAAACATGCGTGAATGATTTAGTACAGACAATGTAAAATCATTTCAGTACGTATCTGATAGGGCCATAGCTCTCTGGGTGGTTTGCACAGGATAATACATAATTCAAAACTTTAACATGCAAGTATTAAACATTTAAAAACTGTTTAAAAATCATATGGACATGGCAGATTTGACATCTTTATTTTTATGCTCTGTTTTCCCTTCTATGCAGAAACTGCTTTGATAAAACAATGAAATATCCCATGGCGGCTTCGTTTCCTATTGTTGGTAAGGGCATTCTAATGGAATTGCTCAGTAAATGGCCCTTTGCATACTTGTAATAGCAAAACAAATGCAATTCAGCCTTGGCAGAAATGAGACAGGAGGGAATGGAAGCTAACAGAAGTCTATATATAAATATGTATTTATTTACTTTTCCTGTTTGCTGTATGTGGGTGAGAGGGATGCTGTTTTGCCCTTAAATAACAAGGAGGATTATATTCTCAACTTGATAATATTGCTTCTTTCTTCTCTTTCTCCATGGGTTGCACTTATGTGTATGCAGAGAAGATAAGTTTACTCTGTTGCATTTCTGCTTTTGTTTTCCTTTTGGGATATGCAACTGATTAGCAAGGATTTTCTCTTTATTTGGTATAAAAGGATTGTTCTGCTGTTGTCCTAGGGGTTTAACTTTTTGTAACCATTTTTCACCCTGCTTCCTTTAGTTTCCAACAATAGTCAATCCCGTAGAGAATAATTATTCAACTAGAGACACCAGCAAGTTGCTGACCTGTAAAATTGGAAACACCATAGACTTCCAGGGGGAAATGCCACTGCTGCTAGTAACTACCCCTTCCCTGTAGAGTGAGATTCAATTAGAGTTACAGTATGAGCAGCTATGAGACTGGAAACAATATAGAAGGCAATTCTTTGTGGGGAAAAATACACTTTATCTCTAGGCCTTTATGTGACCATCATAGTTTAACTGATGGCTTGTAAGTGCCCTTTTATTGTTTATTTGCATATACATGTCTAGGATATTTTGGTCTTCACTCACTTCTGTTCAAGTATACTTTTGAACTTCTCAACTGTTAAAATGAATCACGAGCAACAAATTTCTTGATGGTACTTGATACTAACAGTAAAGCTCAGCTTAGATGTCTTGGAACTGGTTGTTTATCATTCCCAACAAGAAATTTCTTTTATATAGAAAAATGGTGCATCTCAAGTTAAGCGGTGTCTGTTTTTTATTTGAAGTGTGAATTTATAGTAAAACACATAGATTTGAAAATTCAGTGGCTGGTGTCAATAACATATGATGGAATTCTTACTGTATTGCTAACTGCAACAACAGAGAACTCTAGATAAGAAGCATTCTCACTGACATTTGATTTTCTATGTGGAGGGCTTTTGGTTGTTGTTGTTTTCTTATGGTACGAAAAAACGTTCAGTCATCCAAGCCCTTATTTGCAGCCAGAGGTGGTGGTATGTTCAAGGGGCACATTTCCTGCCTCATCTGGTGTCTAAGAAATAGGCTGCAAGGTAGGCATGGGGAATATATGAATCTCTAGATGTTGCTAGATTTCACCCCTTGTTATCCATACTGGGCATGGTGGCTAAAGCTGATGGAAGTTGCAATAAAATGACATCTGGAGGACCACACATTCCCCAACCATGATGAACATCTGTTCAAATAAGAGTTGTTTTTTAAACTAACCACCCAATCAACCACTTGTAAAGAAAAGCAAATAGCAAAAGGCCAATTTTTCCCATATGAGTTTTTGCAAGAGTAACTTTAATTTTGATGGCATTTAAATATACTACGCTACTCTTTTATTACATCTGTATACTCCTCAATATTTTAAAGCCAAAACTCTTCAAGTAGTTCACAATTAAAACCATAAAATACAACATGATATGATATAATATTAAAAAACCTTTAAACAACTGTAAAAACCAAAATAAAAACCAGTGGTGGTATAAGGATTTAAAAATACCAAAAAAATTAAAATTAAAACAACACAAATGAAATAATTTAAATTACTCAGAGAGTAACATGATCTTCTCCTGGCACTAAAGAGAGAATAATGCTGTCACCAGAAAAATGAGGCATATTATCCTGCTTTTTGCATTGTTGTAGGTTATATTTTATAGCTTCTTTCTTAGCCTTCCTTTATCAAAATTAATCATATTTCCTTTCTTTCAGAATGAGCCTCTGACTTCCAGTTATCATGGATACCCAGCGAGAGATAGTCAGGTAAGAGCACTTTTTGTGAGCCTTCTTTACCAAATTTACATAATAAATAGTAATACTTGTGACTTCAGTATTGCAGGGGGCTGACAACAGCTCAAGCTCATGGATAGGAAAAGAGAACAGGTGGCCTAACTTCCACTGGAATATCTTATTGAACTCCTAGCATTTCCAGAATTATACCATGACGGGCTGTTCATGAGCAATGTCTTGCTTATGGGTGGCAGGGGAAGACAATGCCACGGACTCAGGAAAATAATTCAGGGAAGTGAGTGATGAACTGTAACTATTGCAAAGCAGCGTCTTGCAAGAAGGTGGAGAACAGGAGGCATAAAATCCCTTGCCACCATAAATTACATTGCTGAAATAAAGATGCTTGGGAGCAACCAACAGTGCCTTAGCTGTCAGTATAGAGCTATCACAATGTGGTAACTTCCTTTCTCTGGCCATTCCCTCTTTTATATGGGTATGGGAATTGTGGGAAATAACTAGCAGAAATTAGATCTGGCAGTAAGAAATTGTTGGTTTGATATTTTGAGAATAGTGTGATGTCTGAGATAGTGTAGAATAAAATACTGTCCACACTTTGACTTCTCTCTTTCAAAATATTGCAGAGGTTGAATGAAATCTATTTTATTCTTCAGCCTGGGATATTAGTTGTATGTTCAAGTACTGTGTATTCAGGGTGAATAGAATTCAAATGAACGCTGTTTTAAGGTGGTGGTGTTAATGTTCTTGAAGTCACTTGGAAAGGGAGACACAGATGTAGTCTCCTCATCAATGGCTCTTATGACACTTCCATTTCCATATAAAGTTCATTGTTTTCTTTGCATTATAGTAGATAAGGGAATTATATGCATCCTACTTGAGAACCAGAAACTGTGGTAGGAATATGTTTTTATAAACTGTATGCCTGGATCAGTATAATGAAACATCTTGGGTATAGTATGAGTATGTGTGGAATTCAAGTTGGCCAATACATTTTAGAGTATTTGTGCATACTTCAAAAGCAACTTCAGTTTTAAATTTAAATTTATATTTCCTATTTTATCTGTTTGATACAGAAATACTTTTTATACCTTATCTTTGTCTGGTTTTTGATTGGCTTTGAAAAGCGTTTAGTCTCTTTTGGCTCTTAGATGGATTCATTTCAGGCTTAGTTTTCATTAATGAGGTTTCAAAGCTTTTAACTAATCTCATTGGAAGCTCTTAACATGTTAGTAAGGTCTCAGTAGCCACAGGAAAGATCTGATGAGATAGCTTACATATGGTTATCTCTATCTCTGTCACTGAATCATGTACCATTGTGGATGGAGTGCAACCATCATGTCTCTGTTAAATTAGCTCTGTATTAAACAGAATTGTGAGTTAAGATAGCTGTATTTGAAAAGCTCTTTATCTCTCCATTATAGACAGGCCATAGGCAATTTTGCTAGTTATTACCTCTGTCATATTAGTCCTCTCCCTCCTTTCCTAGTTAATATATATAGCGCTGGGGATATATGTGTCTTGAACAAAGACTTGTTTGAACAAAGACATAGCCAGTACTTTCAAAGCTATTTAATGGACAACAGTTTCCTCTTGATATATTTAAAAACGCATTAAGGGCAGTTAAAAGAAGAATATTGTCAGTCTTCCAAGGATTATTTAGGCCACAATCCAACTGAAATACCTGTAAATCCCCAAACTTAGATGATGACAGGCATCTGGTGTACAATAGGAGGAGTGACATAGTTTTGCCTCCATGTTTTTTCTGCTCTGTATTTTTTCTAGTTGACTATTTTCAACTGCCTAGCTAGGGTACTTTAGAAGGGGAGAGAAAGAGGCTGGACTAGCTTCAGGATACCATGTACCCTGGTTGCTCCAGTCTGCTCAATTTGCCACTTTTACCTCTTCTCTGAAGTTGTACTCTTAATCTTGGAGAGCAGCTGCCACATTTCTTTCCATGCTGACCAAAAGGTTATGGGGGGGGGGGGGATTGAAGCTCCAAATCCTATTTCTAAGGTAGAAACTTTGTCTGTAAACTTGGAGTTGGAACTTCAGATGATCCTATGGCTCCCTAAATAATGTCTAGGGGTCCATAGGATTATTCAATGGTTTAGCATTTCTATCTTTGTTAATGACTTTGAGTTATTTCATATTAACTTTTTACCACTCTCGGTTAAGTGTAGCAGTTTAACTGCAAAAGGTATTTTTGATGTCCTTTTGTCTATCCTGCCTATCCCAGATGCTTAAGACTTCTTCTAAGCTTTTAACCTTACCCATCCCATATTGTAGCAATATTTGTTTTCCTCTTCCAGCCTTTTCTAGTAAAATTAAGTACATTCCTTTCTAGCACACAACCACAGGTTCTCCTGTGAGCTGTATTTTTACCTTAAATATCCCAGCTGCATCAATTTCCAACTTGTCCAATATATGTTCACAACCATTTTGAGGCAGGTTATTCCCATTTTTCAGATGACAAGCAGATTGACAGTCGCTGTTGTAATGCAATCCATGGCAGTATGGGCTATTATAGAATTGTAAGAACACTTCCATGAACTGAAGGAGCAGAATCTTCCATTCCATTCCAACTTGTAAACTAAAACGCCAAATGAAATAAAAATTAAACCAGCATTCAGTGTTTTTGAAAATGTTTTTTAACAAATAATTCAAGTCTCTCTTTGGGACCTGTAGTCAAAGCAAAGAGTGGTGTGCATTTCTCATTGATTCATATGAATTAAAAGGTGATGCTACTTGGTTATAAAAATATTTTCCTGGTAAATGACACTAGATGAAACCTGATTTCAGTGAAAAAAAATATTATCCATAGCCTTTTTCAGCTCTTAATTTAAGATTGTACATGATTTAGAAACAAGAGGATTTCTGCTTCAAATAATGACTAACAGTTTTAGAGCTTCTACCACATTTCTTATTTTTCTCGTTAAGATATGTAAAAATCTCAAAAGATGTTTCTTTGCAAAATTGAAGAAGGGTTTAACTTTGGATGGTGATGGCAAGAATAGAACTTGAGAAGATGCTCTTTTGCAATTATTTAAGCTTTACCTCTTACAGTGCCTTATCAGTGTTGCCTGCTTTATATTAAGTGCTCATTGCTGTAAGCTTTAAGTTTTGCTAGGTGATATCTCATCACCTTTTGTTGTTAGCTGAACACCCTCTAGTGGAGAAAACTGTGTGTATTTTGGATCCAAAACAAGCAAAGTGCCTTTTATTTCCACTGCTTTCATGTAAATGTATATGACATCTGAGTATTACAAAATCTTTTATCAGACAAAAGGAGATAGATTTTTGCTTCTCATTATTGTAAAGTGTTCTCAATGAACATTTGTCTTGTAGCACTTCAGTGGCCCAAATGGATTCTCAGAAAACAAAATTATGGATATGAATAACATCATCCATGCCATTTTTCCCATTTGCTTCTCAGAATTTTGTCCCTAAAAATGGCACAGCTTTTAGTATATTTAGTATCATTCAATAATCTGCATTATGAACTTGATAAACAACCCAGCAGCACCAAATGGAATCTCTAATCTAATTTTGTATCATAAGACTGTTCTAAGTAATGTCTCACCTGAAAAAGTAAATCTGATTAAAAACAAAAACAAAATTAATAACCTTGTGAAGAATCTTATGAATACCAAAAATATATTTTTAAATACTACTGAAATTAAATTCTGGAATAAAACAATTATTTCAAACCTCAGTTTTGAATATCATTTGTACTTCATACCTACTTCAATCAGAATAGGCAGCTGAGTAATTTGGAATGTTATAGGAAGGAATTTGCTATAAGTTTTGAATTGCAGCTTAAGGGGTAAATTGCAAGTTTGAAGAAAACAGCAAAGGGATATAGGGTTAGCCTGTGCCAGAATGCATCTCTGATTTGGATTTCATCTTCCTGTGGCTTCTTTGAAAAGGGAGTGCCAGTTTTAAGTATCCTTTTGAAGCAGGTGGGTAATATAATAAGTAACTTGGTTTGGACCTTAAAATGGAAGGAGGACTTAGGGAACCATCAGGCTGCTAAATACTGGTCCCTAGTTGATACCATCTGCTCTAAATATTAAAATTTTGGGCAGATGTATCTGGACCTGTTGGTGTCCATTCTTGACTGTTCTTGCTTTTCTAATTGTTTGTTTTTGGTGTGTGGTCTCTTCAGTTGGAAAACCTTTCCTCTATAACAATTAGCTAAAATATTTTAAAGTCACTCCTCAACTATAAGTGTTTAGGCATAAATGCCAATAGCCTACTCTGATGTGATTGAAGATCAGGTAGCAGTCCAGTTTTCAGTTCTGAAATCTCAAAGCTGCTAAGTGGTCTACATATTGGAAACTAAACAGAAACTGGATCTGGGAACATTGATTCCTGGTCTCTCTCTGGCAAGGAAAACCAGTCTCTGTGACTGTATTCTGTACTGATTGATCTTCTGTATGCCACATTTTGAGAACAATCTGTGTGCCTCTGGCTATGCTTTGCCATAAGAGGGCACTCATTACACAGCAACTGCTGAATGGTACTGGAAACAGATCCTGCTCTAGAATCATTGTGTGCATGGTGTGGGAAGGACACAACTGTGTGGGAGACTTATCATGTCACAGTGATAGACAAATTAGTTCTTCTCTTCCTCAAACTTAGTTGCAAAGTATAATGTTTTATTTTCTGGCTGTTTGTAAGGCCTGCTATATGTTACTCAGGAGGAGTATTTTTGTAATGGAAGCAATTGAGGTTGGGAAAGGGCAATGAAAATAGATAATCTTTAGTGCTGAGGGTTTGAGTGGAGGAGTGGGTCTTAATTCAACTGAATAAAGTAAGTTAACTTCTGTTAATGAAGATGAAGAAAGAAAGTATTTTACTATATCTATAAGATGTGGGGGAAAGTGCAACTAGTTGTTCTTTGTCTATGTACAGTTGCATATTTGGAGGCACTGTTGTTAGTCTGCCATTGCCTATGGTATGCATATTGCTGTTCTTACCCTGTTCTTACCCACCCCTGTTCTTACCCTGATCTC